TCTTGAAAATGAGCAAGTCAAGATCCTGTGGGACTTTTGGATCCAAACAAACAGATATCTGGCTCACAACATGCCTGGCATCACTATTGTGGACAAGAAAAAAGTTTGGTTCATTGATATTGCAATACCAGGTGATACATGAATTGAAGAGAAACAGCTAGAAAAATACCAAAATATTGTGATTTGCAAATTGAAGTTGAGCGATTATGGAGAAAGAAATCAATGGTTGTACCAATAGGAGCCCTTGGAGCAATACTCAGAGAGCTGCCTAGATACATAGGAATTTTGAACTTAATAGACATGAATATTCTGACTTTGCAAAAAACCTCCCTACTCAGAACTGCCTATATACTCATACACTACCTTAATACTTCTTAGTCCTTGGTTAGGACTTGAACTGTTACGTTTTTACCAACCCCAGGCTGTGAATTCAACTGAAGATTAATAACAACAACAATAATAATATGGCAATACCAGATACCAATGTGTGAATTGAAGACAAACAGCTAGGGGAAAAAAAAGCAAAATATCCAAATCGACAGACATCTGGCCCACAACATACCTGACATCACTATTGTGGAAAAGAAAAGGTCTGGCTCATTGATATTGCAATACCAAGACATGCATGAATTGAAGAGAAACAGCTAGAAAAAAACCCAAAATATTGTGATTTGCAAATTGAAGTTGAGTGATTGTGGAGGAAGAAATCAATGGTTGTACCAATAGTAATAGGAGCCCTTGGAGCAATACTCAAAGGGTTGTCTAGATACATGGAAATTTTGAACTTATTAGGCTGTGGCTATCAAACATCAAAAATATCTGCCACCTCCTTTACATGGACAATCTGAAGCTGTATGGAATAGAATCGCTGCTCAATATTGTCTGTATATATAGCCAAGATATTGCAATGGAGTTTGAATTCGACAAATGTGCCACACTCACTGTCAAACAAGGAAAAATAGTGAAAACTGAAGAAATCAAGATGCCCCATGAAAATAACATTAAGAGTCTGGATGAAGATGGTTGCTACAAATACCTGGGTATTCTTCAAGCGGACAACATCAAGCACACAGAAGTCAAGAAAAAGATTAGAAGTGAATCAAGAGAGTGAAGAAAATCTTAAAGTCCAAACTTAAAGGAGGAAATACCATCAAGGCAATCAACACCTGGGCAATTCCAGTCATTAGATACACAACAGGAATAGTGGACTGGACTCAAGTAGAACTAAAAGTAATGGATAGGAAGAACAGAAAAATAATGACAATGAATCATGCCCTCCATCCTCACAGTGACATTGACAGACTCTATCTACCAAGGCAAATAGGTAGACATGGAATGTTGCAAGTACATCAAGTGGTTGAAGAAGAAAAAAAATGGCTTTGGAAAATTATCTGAAAGACAGTGAAGAAGATGTACTGAAGTTAGTACACCAGGAAGGCTTACTGACTACTGAAGAGACTAAACTGACCTACAAGAAAGACCAAATGAAAAACAGAATGGAGGCATGGGAAGACAAAGCACTATATGGCCAGTACATTAAAAAAATAGCAGGGAAAGCAGAAAACAACAAGACCCAGCAGTGGCTAAGAGCAAGGAAGTTGAAGAAACAGACCAAGGAACTAATTCTGGCTGCACAAGACCAATCCTTAAGGACAAATGTACACAAAGCCAGAATTGAGAAGACAGCAACAGACAGTAAATGAACCACCTGGTAAGCTGCTCTAAGAAGATTGTCCAGACTGACTACAAACAACAGCATGACAAAATAGCAACAATGGTGTACTGGAAGGTCTGCAAAAAAATCATTTGCCTGCAAGCAAGAACTGGTGAGACCATAAAATAGAGAAACTCATAGAAAATAAAGAAGTTAAATTGCTCTGGGATTTTAGAATTCAAACAGACAGGAACCTGCCACATTACACCCTGGACTTAAAAATTGTCATTAAGAAAGACAAAAAAAAAGCTGGATAGTGGATGTGGCAATGCCTGGAAACAGCAGAATAGAATAGAAAAAATTGGAGAAGATAACAAAATACAAAAACCTACAAATAGAAATAGAATGACTGTGGCAAAGGCAAGCAAGGGTAGTACCAATAGTAATAGGCACCTTGGGTGCAATCCCAAAACAACCGGAGCACCACTTGAACACCACTGGCATTGACAAATTTGCCATCAGTCAATTGTAGAATGCGGCTTTACTGGGAACAGCTTCCATCCTGTAACAACATCTGCCTATTCCAGATCCTTGGTAAGGACTTGATAGGTAGACAAAAATGCCAAATCCAGTCTGAACATCTGGCTGACTGCAATCATGAAACAGTAACTGTGAGAGGGACCTTGGAGTCCTAGTGGACGATCACTTGACTATGAGCCAGCAGTGTGCAGCAGCAACCAAAAAAGCTAACAAAATCCTGGGTTGTATAAACAGAGGCATAGAATCAGATCACAAGAAGTACTATTACCACTTTATAAAGCCCTAGTAAGACCACACCTAGAATACTGCAGTCAATTTTGGTCACCACACCACAAAAAAGATGTCGAGAGTTTGGAAAAAATTCAAAGAAGAGCAACTAAGATGATCAGGGGCCTGGAGACAAAAGCATACGAAGAACAGCTACGGGAATTGGGTTTGGCTAGTCTAAAGAAAAGAAGAAATAGGAGAGACATGATAGCAGTGTTCCAATATCTGAGGGGTTGCCACAAGGCAAAGGGGGGCAGGTTGTTCACCAAAGCACCAGATCAAAGGACAAGAAACAACAGTTGGAAACTGATCAAAGAGAGAAGCAACCTGGAACTAAGGAGAAATTTCCTGACAGTGAGGACAATCAACCAGTAGAACAGCTTACCCACAGAAATTGTGGGCACTCCATCACTGGAGATTTTTAAAAAGAGACTGGACAGCCACCTTTCTGAGATGATATAGGTTCTCCTGCTTGAGCAGGGGGCTGGACTAGAAGACCTCCAAGGTCCCTTCCAGCTCTATTCTATTCTATTCTATTCTATTCTATTCTATTCTATTCTATTCTATTATTAATCATCATTACTATTATTATCATCATCAATCATCATCTCTACCTATCAAGGCAAATAGATGCGTGTGGAATGTTGCAAGTACATCAGATGGTTGAAGTAATAAAAAGGGCTTTGGAAGAATATTTGAAGGACAATGAAGAAGATGCACAGAGGTTAGTATATACAGAAGGCTTACAGACTAGTGGAGACACCAAACTGGCCTACAAGAAAGATCAAATAAAGAACAGAATGGAGGCATTGGATGAGGAAGCACGACGTGGCTAGTACATTAAAAAAATAGTAGGGAAAGGAGATAATAATAAGACCTGACAATGGCTAAGAAGAGGAAAATTAAAGAAAGAGACTAATTGTGTCTGCATGAGACCCAGTCTTAAGAACAAATGCATACAAAGCCAGAATTGAGAAGACAGCAACAGACAATAAGTGCTGCCTATGAAAAAGCTGAAAAGTTGCTATAAGAAGATCACTCAGACTGACAACAAAGAATGACATAACAAAGTAGCAACAATGGTACAATGGAAAATCTGCAAGAAATATCATTTGCCTGCAAGCAAGAACTGGCAGGACCATTAAATAGAGAAGGTCATACAAAATGAAAAAGATAAATTGCTCTGGGACTTTAGAATTCAAACAGACACCTACCACATAACACCCCAGACTTAACAATTGTCAGTAAGAAAGACAAAAAAATCTGAATAGTCATTATGGCAGTACCTGGAGACAGCAGAATAGAAGAGAAAGAACTGGAGAAGGTAACAAAATATGAAGAACTACAAATACTATAGAAATAGAACGACTATGGCAAAAGCAAGCAAAGGTAGTACCAATAATAATAGGGGCCTTGGGTTCAATCCCAAAACAACTGGAGCACCACTTGAACACCATTGGCATTGACAAATTTGCCATCAATCAATTGCAAAAGGCAGCTTTACTTGGAACAGCTTCCATACTGCGATGATATCTGTAAGACCATCAAACATCCAGATCTGCTTAACCCAGGTCCTTGGAAAGGACTCGATAGGTAGACAAAAATGCCAAACACAGTCTGAACATTTGGCTTACTATGCAATGAACTATAATAAAACAACAAAAACAAATTTGTTAGAACTTACTAATTGAATCCTATACTATCCCAATCATTTTCAAAAGTGATTCTCCCAACCTATACCTTATTTTGAACATGTAGTCCATTAGCAGATTTGAAAGGCTGGGTGTAGTCAGTGATGTTCCAGGGAAAAGAGGATCAAAAAAGGCAAGACTAGCATCTTTCTTTTTTTGATACCCCTACTCCACTCCCCATTGATGCCATTGAGTGCAACCCAATCTTCAGCCTGACTCATACAGAAAATTAATTCCCAGTTTCATTAAATAAGTAATCTTGAGTTTCCCCTTGAACTTTATGCAGGAACACATTTTCATATCTTGATTATGATTTTCAGAACCACCACAGATTGGATTACAGGTAGTCCTCAATTTATAACTGTTCATTTAATGATGGTTCAAAGTTTTAAAAAAACCTATGACTTTTTCTCAAAGTAACAATACTTGCATAAACCCCATGAACATGGGACTGCAATTCAGGCTTCCATTTATGATGGCTGTAGAGTCTTGTAATCATATAATTGTGATTTGTGACCTTTCCAGCTGGCTTCTGACAAGCAAAATCAATTGGGGAAGATGGGTTCACTTAACAACCATATGATAAAATGGCAATAAAATTGGGTTCAGTCATTGAATGACTTGCTTAATGCTTCATCACTAAGTGACCAAAATTCCTGTCCCAATTGTGGTTGTAAGTTGAAGATTACCTGTAAATTAGGCAAGATAGCATCTCTGAAAGGTTGAAAGAAAATATGTTTGTGTGAGGGGGGGTTGTTTGTGCCTGAAAATTCATCCTGCATGGCAGACCTTATAAAAGAAAATCAATTCCCCAAAGTAGTTTCAAAATACAATGAAATGTAACATACCGCAAACTGTAAAGAACGGTTCCATCTGGATGTAGCCGAATCATTCGATTTTTCACAGTAACTCCATGAACAAAGGATTTCTTGTCATTCAGGAAATATGTATCTGGAACCCAAAGATAATCAGCCACTCTGTTATCTAAAGTTAGATTTAAAGGTATGCCAGAGTAGGATAATCTTTTATCCCTCCAGGATTGCTGGAAATACATAGTTAGTGTATAGTCCTGGAAAAAAGTAAAAAAAATAGCAATTATTATTATAGATCTTATTTATTAAGATTTGATTTTATAATTGCTATTAACATCAAGATTTATATCCTGATTTTCTTCCAGCAGCTCAAGATAATATTCACTGCACTCTCTCCTTTTTGATGGAGCTTGGATTGAGACAAAACAACTGATTCAATTCGCCCAGTGAGTTTCCATAATTGAGGGTTGACTTAAACATAGGTGTCCTCAATGTCCCCACACTTTACTATATTGTACCGACCTTTCACAGTTAGGAAGTGAAGACCAAGTTAATGGCAAATGCAGTTCCTTAAACATTCCCATTTTGATAAAGCTATTGATCCAGACATGTTCATTATTTATTAAGATTCAAGGGGAAAATGTATTGTTTGCTTTGTCTTGTTGCAAACTAACTTTTACTCATTTTCCTACTGTATTTTCCTTTTTAAGGGCAGTGTTGCACACTGGTTTGAAAAGTGGCTTGAGCTTATCTTTTATCTTCAGGTAAGTCTAAATATTATAATCATAGAAAACTGATTTTGTTCAAGCAGTTGAATCCTATGGGATAAGTAGTTAAAGATACAAAGCACATTAAATATTACCAATTTCCTGTGTGCTGGGGTTGTATTGTGGCTGTCATACAGAAAACATACACACACATGTACAAAATTTTTCCTTGTGGCAATGACTTAATATTTTGAAATGCCCCAAGAGATACCAACTATATGGCAGTTCTCCACATCAACTCTGGAATTCTTTTTCAAAAAAATATCATGTCATATGATGAGATCTCACATGGAAGTGCTTTTTTTAAAGGTAGGGAATATTTCATTACCCTTCAGTCACATCTGTTTCATAAATGTGTGCATTTCAATGTTTTGAAGAGGGAAATTTCACCCCTGTCAATATACTTTCTGAAGTCCCCCATTTTAAATGTTTTCACAGTATTAATTTGTATCCCTCTGTATCTCAAGAGTAGAAAGTTTTGATTATGTGTTACCCAGTTGGTAACTTTTAGATATCACATACTAGATAGATGCTCTAGAACAGTGATGGCGAACCTTTTAGAGACCGAGTGCCCAAACCACAACCCAAAACCCATTTATTTATCACAAAGTGCCAGGGCTGCATCAGCATTGTGGTGCCCTTGAGGGGGGCAAGGAGGCGCCTCTGAGTGCCGCCTCTGGCACGCAAAAACTGGGAGCGCAAAAATGGGCCACCATGCTGCAAGGCACAAAAACGGCTACCGCCGCACTGCGGGGTGCAGATACAAGGCACTGCATCATGCAAGAACGGGGCAGGGCTAGTGAGTGTCATGCAGGCACTAGCCCCACCCCATTTGCAGTGCAAAATGCTTCCTCCTCCCTTTTCTTCCAGCCCAACAATGGTTGGTGAGCTCTGCTCTACCACCCCTACTCGAGCTTGCTAGTTGGCCGCTTTGCCTCCTTTGTGCTGGGTGGGGCTCCTGCTCTGGGCGGCAATGGCGGCCTGATGGACCTGCTGCTGCTGGTGGTGCGCGTGCCAACAGAAAGAGCTCTCACTGCCACCTCTGGCACGCGTGCCATAGGTTTGCCACCACTGCTCTAGAATGTTCTGTCTACAAATTGTGCATCTAACACCACTGTAATCAAGTCCATCAACATTATCACTCTTCTCTTCAGTTCCCTTTTACTTTTTCCAGCTTTATGGAATTCTCAGGAGAGCTAAATCTTTACACAGTGTCAAAACTATGATAACTTGAGCCTGGTTATTTGTGTCTTCTGTGATCTTATCATTTGTACTTTATCTAGAATTTAATTGATTCTATGATCCATTTACTTATTTTCTTGGCTATTGATGGGCAGAAGCTTTCCACAATTTCAGTATCTTTATTTTCAATTCAAAGCTTGTGTCAGAGTCCCTCAATTGTATTTGCCTTTAACCCTTCCCTTTTCCCCTCTCTTGCTTTTGCCTGTTTATTTTTGGGGCTTGCCATACTATTGGGGGGAGGGAGCTTGCAGGGGAATTGTTATTTGCTTTGCTCTGCTTTGTATGAGATGCCCTCCCTCTGGGCAAGAGGAATGCGACCTGAAAACATCTGCCTTATCTCTAGACAATGGAGCCTGAGACCATTTGGAAACGAAACCAAGAGAGACCTTGAAAAGCCCACTGAATCTCCAGCTTCTCATAACATGGTGGCACCTGTGGATTGGCTGGATTTCAACTGGATGTTGGACACTGTGGGGGGGGAGTTGCGAATTGCCTTTTTGATGTAATCCTTTATGAGCCAAATGTTAGAACTTGCTTTGCTCTCTTGCCATCACTAACTCTCAATAAAAAGTTCTTTTGGGACAATGCCTGTTTCAAGAGTTCTGCTCTCTTGGGAGATCTAGTTGAGGCAGGTCTTTAGAGCTTGCTTGCTGGACTTCCAGTTTTGTGCAGTAGTGCAGCAGCCGAGGGATTGCTGGGCTCTGCACCCTACAGCTGATTTCTGCCAAGGGACCCTAAATGGGCCTGAAGTTGCCCTGTAGAGGGGGAAAATCCCGCTGATTGTGGAGAGACAACAGTCGATCCAACTGATTTGGGAAAAGCCCTCCAGAAACTGGCAGGAGAATAGGCTAGTTTAACTTCCAAGTCTAGCCCAAGCTGCAAGCAACTGAAGTCCAAAAGTACTACTTCAAGCTGACTGTAAACAACATGTTTGGAACTGGCTAAGAACAGTGATTTTCTCTCTTCTACTTGGAAATTGATTTCCTGGGAAAAAGAAAAAAGAAAAACCCCAAGAAGCAAAAAGCCTCCAAAAGTGAGAAGGAGGGGGACCTTTGCTCCACCCTCCTGCAGACAGAAGTGGTGAATTAAACCTTTCAGGGGGAACAGAAATATATTGAAATGAAAAGAAGATAAGACTTAATTTGAATAAGTTTGAAATTGGTGGAATCTGTTAAGATTTTCCTTTTATATCGTGAAAATAGAAGTAAATAATTGTCTATTACTGAAAGAACTGGTGCTGACATCTAGTGGTGGATGAAAATATACAACAATAGCTGCTCTATTACAGGGATTGGCAAGGCCCAGGAAAAGATAAATTTGATTCTGGTGACCTTCAATGTCTTAATAACAGAGAACAGCTGTGACAATTTTTTTTGATGCCTGTAGGTTTAGCCCCATTAGTATTTATAGATCATTTTAAATCGTTGTGAAAAAAAAAGCCCTAGATAAAATTAAATCGCTGGGCTTCTCTATGGAAAGTCTGTGTTCATTATGATTTGATAATGCTAGAACTGTCTTGAATCTGGGATATAGATCTCCAAACAAACCTAAGTAAGGTGGCACATTCCAACATTTGTCATTTGCTTCCAGAAGGATTCTTTCTAGCTTCTTATCTATTTTCCATTACAATTTCAAAATTTCGTAAAGCTTTCACCTTAGCCAGGCTGGATGCATTGCCCTCGGCAGTCCTTTTTGGATGGTTTAAGGGCATTCCTATGCACCTTCGGTTATGTCCATGTGGTGATGGCTCTATAGAAACTCTAAGCCATATGTTGCTTCATTGCTCTTTATATAAAGACTCTAGACAGATTCTTATATATCCGATATTGAAGAAATTTCAAGGCAGGGGATATGAATTTTATCTAAAGTTGCTACTTTTGGATAAGGGTCCGAAAATATCAATTCAGAGTCAATATCATCTAATTTAACTCTAAAAAGTACCACACAGCTTATACAGAGAGTGGCTGCCTCTTCATATTTTGTCAAAGCAAGAACATCCAATGTTAGCAGCGTTGACATCCGCCCCCCCCCTTACAAAAAGGGTAGATCCTGCATGTAAACAAAGCATATGTTAGGGACTATCTCTCGATTTGTTGGGGTGTTTCTTGTAAAACCTTTTAATGAGTCTGTCAGCTCTCATATCGCTAGACTTCACCCAAGTGGCTTTGCACAACAAGTACCCCTTCCATTGTACTAGGTACTGCAATTTCTCTTTAAAAATTCTAGAGTTAAGAATATGTTTCACTTTGATATGTAGGTTCTGAGGTTTTGCTGGTTAAAGAAATACAGGAAACCAGAAAGTGCCTTTAAGTTTTACGTTTTTATTCAGCTGAATAGAGACAGACTCCTCTAAATGAGGGAAGCAATGAATGACAAGAAATCCTTGTATTTATTCTGTATAATTACATAAGCAACCCATCCAGCAAAGCTGACACACATAAGATAAAGATTGCACCCAGTAAAGATTGCACACTGTAGATAAGAAGGGAGAAAGCAGAAGTAGCTAAACATGTTCCCATTCGAATGTTCCCTAAAGATATCATATGTTCTTGGGTGGGTTAGGACATTGGGTGTTGTCCTTGCTGTCCTTTCCTGACCCTGCATCCAGGATTACAAGTGACCAAAGAGAGAGAAGCCATCTATATGTATTCACAATTAATACTGTCCCCTAATTCCTGGTCATCAACTTCATAGTGAGTCTGACCCGCTACTATGAGGGGCCTGGGTGCCTTCTTAGGGGGAGGTCTTAAAGTAGAGCCCTGACAAGGTTTTAACAAGCTGCAATGGAAGACAGGGTGAATTCACCCTAAAAGCCTAGGGAGTTTTAATTCTACTGTGACCAGGTTGATGATCCTCACGATGGGGAAAGGCCCCAAGAATTTCGGTCCTAATTTCTTACTGGGTAATTTAAGGTGTAAATATTTAGTCGACAGATAAACCTTTTCCCCAACTTGGAATGTTCTTTGGGGAGCCCTCTTTTTATCAGCCTGCTTTTTATAGGTCTCAGGAGTCTTTTTTAAAGCAGTCTTTGTGTTTCTCCAAACTTCTTCCCACCCTCTCACCCATTGATCAAGTGTCTGGGAGGTGGAGGCACCTGAGGGTATTCAGGTATTGGGTTGAATTCTTTTCCTGTGACTACTCTGAAAGGTGTGTAGTTGGTGCTGCTGTGAACAGAATTGTTGTAAGCCACCTCCACGAAAGGGAGGAGGTCAGTCCAGTTTGTTTGTTGGTATGAAACATAA